TAGATCCTAGAGTGCGTAAAACTTATAAAATATTAAGTAAAGCTCGGAATCCAATAACTTAGAAGGAATTAGTATTATTATTATATTATTAATTTTCAAGATATCTATTCAGTATGTCGTACATATTATCCACAAAGTATATTAAAAAGTAATATAGTATACCCATGAAGGTATATTGCTTTAAATCTATACAAATAAATTAAATTGAAGTGTCCGTTTGCAATGTCAAAATAACACCTTTTTACTATATACATATAAAATATGTAGCATACTTATAACAATTTTTTTAATGTTTGTCTGTTTGTTCCGGCTAGTCTCCGAAATGACTGGATCGATTTTGGCGGGACATTCACTGGCCGATAGCTAATGTTATAAGGAGTAACTTAAGTTACTTTCATTTTAGAAAAAGAATAAGGGTTCCGCACAAAAAAATTAAAGAATATTAAATCCCATCGTAATAAATTCCACGCGGACGAAGTTTTCGTCGTTTCGAAAAAAATCCCAATGAATGAAATATAAAATTTATTTATGAAAATCTGTTACGGGTTTTATGGTCTCTAATTTTAACTTATTTTAGATAATCATTAATCACAGACTTTTTATATATTATTTCGAAAAAAATAGCAAGTTAAATGAATTCTTAGTTAGTACTTTATTTTGACATGTTGTACTTAATTTTTTAGCTTAGAAAAATAAATATTATACTTTATCTGCTCAAAAAAGGTGGCCAACCCTAATATGTTTTTAAAAGTATAGGAACGTCATACTCGCTCTAAAGTGGCAATACGAAAGTCAGGTAATTGCCCGACTCGCATTCAGTCGGGCACACTCTCGCGTTGCGGCAATACCTTCGCTACAGCGCGTAAATCTTCTAGTTATTCGTGGCAAAAATGCCTTCTTGTGTTTTTAGGTGGTGCACAAATTACACGGCAACTGTTAGAGACAAGAAAAAGGTCTCATTAATATTTTGAATTTAGATGTTTTGTTCATAATTGGTTTTATTATTTCAACACTAACTGCTAGTGTAAACTTTGACGCTAGCTAGTGTGTTCTTTTTCCATATCGGTATGTCACGCGCTCGCGCCAATGAGCGCTCGGCAGCAATCAATATGCAACTAATGATGTATATTCATCTTTGTCTAACGATAGGTATGCCCTATCATTTGTCTCTTTTTGTTAGCGCAACGTGTCATAATAAATAACTGTACGTAGATATAGAACTACCCGCGCCACTTTAAAATACAATAATGTTAGTGTGTCTATCTTTTTTAATGTCTTTGGGACAACCTAATTATCACCTCAAAAACACTAACCAAAAATGTTTTAATTGGATTTATGTTATGTTGTTGGATTCAGAGGTCAAAATCTACTACCAGCAATACCGGCTTTTTTTGTTAACTGTACATACTATTATTTATGACTTATAATTATTGATTGGCAATGAGCATTAACCTGATAAAACTATTTTATTTATTGAAATAATCAATTTCTTCGCTAAAATTGCAATGTCTCATTGTTTATAAATAAGTAATGCATCTAGAAATTGTTACGCGTTTTTTGGGATCCTTAGTTTTTTTTTTATTTAGAGCTATTTATAATATATCTTGATTACTTAAGTTAAAAAAATTATTTAAAATTGTTTTTGCATGTCTGAAAAAATGTGTCCAACTTTAATAGATAAAGATTAAATGTGTATGCATATAAATATAATAGACTATAATATAACAATTATATTACTTGTAGCGTTTTTTTTATGTAATAAACAAACAAGGAACTTTTAAGAAAGCTAGATTGTAGTAAAACTGGCAAAACGTTTTGAATGGTGAATTCTGCTATTTAATAGTAACAAGAAATTGTTAAAGGTCCGTAAAAACATTATAGTGTTTAAAAATGTTCCTTTTAGTTCCTAAGCAATATATGAATATTGAAATTTCTTAAGAAAATAAAACGTTTTCCAAGTTATATTCCGTTTCATCCTGTTCACGTGCTCAGATGAAGTAAAATCTGAGTTCACATGCTCTAACTATACCTAGGTACTTAACAGTGTGCATTATACGAGTAAAATAACTTTAACCATGTCTCTATATCTTATTGAATAGAAATCAATGCAAACCTTTAAATGTGATAATATACATCAAATATTATTTAAGAAATTATAATGGCTTTAAAACAAATGCTAATAAAATAAATTAGTTTAGTATAGACGCATCGACAATAGTAGTTAATGGAAACAAGCAGACGGTGGGGGTGACTTTAAAAGCTATAATATAACTATGTATTTATTTTGCTTTGCTTTCTAAGCACATTCTTTTTAGCTCATATACAAATACAATGTATATAATAGCGTTACACATTTATGCAAATAAAATTATTTGTCACCAGAAAAAACTAGGTACCTACTTATTAATTCATCAGAATGCACAATGAATTCAAAAATTCCGTATTTATTCTGAAAATTTTGACTTGATTTCTTGCTTGTGCAGTTAATCATCAATTATTCGTCAGCTTCACCGTAGAGTACCCTTCTTTATTTGTTGTAACATAATAACCCACATCGAGTCTTAGAAATAAGGAGATAAATAAGGAGATTCTGAATCAGATTGATATGATTGTTGCAGACGATGCAAGGTAGGTAGTTTGTATAATCATTGTATAAATTGAGAGAGCTTGGTTGGGAAGTGTTAATAAATCTTTAGATGATAATAAATATTTAGATTTTCATATGTTTCGGTATCTTTAGAATTTTTTGGGTAGTGTTAGGCCATCAAGAGAGGACTGTCAAAACTACTTGTCGCTTTTTCTCTCCAAGATTTCTACAGCAACGGGACTATGTCACTACCTACAAGATGACAAGTTTACGCACAAAATGGCACATATATATTATAATTAAATGTAATTATACTTTGAAAAAAAGTCTTGAATTTGTATATAAAATACTTGAGAAGGAACTTTTTCCCTAATTATGCGACATATACTCGCACTACATAGGGCACACTGAAATTTCTGCACTCCTGGACGCTCATAAATGATTGAATTTCGAATGTTATATAGGTATTTTGTAAAACATAAGAAACTCATATATTGATTAAAATAACTTATGGCGGGAAGTCGCGTGTCAATTGTTTTTTATCACAAATGAAATTCGTCATCCGTACCAAAAATGGAATTAACGCGAAAAGATTTTAGGGCGATGATTTTTTATGATTTTAAAAGTTCACTGCCTCCGCAAGATTGCACTGCTCGTCTTCAAAATGCTTTTGAGAGGAAAGCAGCTTATTTGAGCACCGTGAGGCGTTGAGTACGCACAATATGATCGTGGGTGTTTCTCTCTATGACGAAATTCGTGAATGTCGACCCTGCTATCTGCTACTGCGATCATTGAGGAAAATGAAGCTACTGGTTAGGCAACTTAATGAAGAAAACCGGCGCATCATCTACGAGGACATTTAAGGACATTTTGATATTGGTATGAGCCAAATACAAAAAAATTTACATCAACATTTAAAAGTTACAAATCTGAGAAATCTCACCTCCGAACAAAAATGGGCTCGAGTAACATAGATATACTGTTACATTCCGGAAAGAAAGCAACAGTCTTCTGTATTGGCGTTCGAAGGCGAAAGTAAACCAACAAAATCGGGGCAGGCAAGAAACGTGGGCAAAAAATGATTGCTTTTTCTCCTCAGACGGGTCCTGTCTGCACGATCGCACTTGATGAGCAAAAGACAGTTGCCAGTGAATTTGAAACAGTTAGGGAAAAACTACAAAGAAGTTCATCCTGCATACAGTCCAGACCTCGCACAATGCGATTTCTTTATTTTCCAATAACGAAAGATTTGATTAGATTTGACATTTATGTAGCCAGAGCCAAGATAGCTTTCAACCAGTCCATGAAAAACATCTCCCCAGACCAATGGTTAAAAAAAAAAGATTGAGTTAATGAAATAGTGTTTAAAATATAATGGGAAGGAATTGTTATTAAAAAAAAGGGCATTGATAATCACTTCCAATTATTTGGTTAAATCTATTATATATGTTGAATTTTTCTAGAAAAACAACAATTTTACAAGTAAGGTACCTTTTGGTATTCATAAAGGTAAACAAAGTATGAATATTTGAACAATCAATAAGAATATCAGGTTTGGAGTTATGATTAGAAAAATAAGTAGAAAATAAAAACAAGATGATGAAAACAACTAAAACCAATTGAAATGATTCTATTAATTAGCCAATATTTTGATTTTATTTTACAAAATCAATTAATTACAACCAATATTAATTCAAAGCATCTAAGTACTTCCCAAGAGGAGTGCAGCAATTAAAAACTAGCAAAAGTTATATATCAATGAATATTATATACTATTGTTTATTACTATTTTTTTCTTCAAATTTTACAAAAGTTTTCTAAGTTTTAACGTAATATGTCTAGGAAAGGGCGAGGGCAATGGCCCGAGTGCTATTTGATTAGAGTAGCATTCCCCTAAGGACAAGAAATTTAAAACATTATATTGCATTAAAATGTTTTAATAACTTCTTACCAACAGAATTCACATAGTGTTTATCTAAGATTTTTATTAATAGTACCTAATTGTAAATTTATCACTCTGAAATGATTTACAATTAAAACGTGAAACAACATAGTTGTTACAAATTGTACTAGAGCAGTACCTACCAAACAGTTTAAAATATACTCTTACTTTTTAATCAACCATCTTTAATAAGTTATTCATCTGAAAACATTCCTGCATATACCTTTTCTTAGCACCTTATAATTACACTATTTAAAATATTATTTCATATTATATATCACATTTAAATTGCACAATCAGAAAACATTTGCTGATATAAACACATGTATAAAACATGTTAATAGTTTGATGAATAAATAATCAGTGATGATAGAAATGTATTTCACGTAAACAATATTTGCATAAACAATTTTCACATAAACAGTGTTCACATAGACAATTTTTGCATTTTTCTGCAATATGCTGACGTCACTATCCACCAGTGCCGTTGAAATATTGGGCATGTTTAGTGTAAGGTGCTGCAATATGATATGGTGGTGGTTGTCCTCTCATATATACTGTTTCAGATACACAACTTGGACTCTGACGATGACTAACTACACTAGGTGAATGAGATGAAGCTGGTATAGCATCATATAAATCATACATGTTCTGACTTGCAGAACACTGTACAAGACTAAAGCTGCCATCATCAGTAACTAAAGGTGTATTGGTCATTCTGTATGGATTTGTTGCATTTGTATGGCCTGTAGGGGAGTATAACTCTGGTGACTGAGATGAGATGTATGTAGGGCTCGATGTTGAAATCCCATATACATTGGCATTTGGAGTTTGTGTTTGATGTAATGGTCTAGAGAAATGATGACCATCACCCATAGGTGGAACAAACATATTGTTATAATTACTTAAATTGGGCATTGTTGTAGAACTTACTACTTGACTTACAGTATGCACTCCGGTATTTGACAGATCATGACCCCCGTGGCTGTGGTGACCATAAACATTATAATTATGTTGACCATAATTTTTTTCCTTGCCGTAAGAAAAATCACGATCATAAATGTTGTCGTGATAATTGTTTGCTGTAACATTGTGGCACTTAGCATGATCTTTTATATTATATGAAGGCTCAAATGCAGGAACATTTTCAGCCACTGTTCGTGAGTTATAAGGACTTTCATTATAATGAGGTGTCATCACATTTTCTTCATTTATAATTCTGTCTTGGGAACTGAGACTAAGTCTTTGTAAATGATTTTGAGCTTCATCTGTATTATTTCTATACCTAATTTCATTTACTTGATGATAATTTTTTGGGTCTAAATGACTTGCATAAGCATTTGATTTCTCTATATTATGTCTTTGATATCTTTCATTGTGTTTAATGTTGTAATGTTTTTGTAGGTCAATATATGGTTCCATATTTTCACTTTTATATTCATTATTTGTGGCACCATTATTTTCAACATATAGTGAATGATCTACACTTTTATAAGTTTTATCTTGTTCATATGTTAGGTCCAACGGTTTATCATAAGCATTCTCAGGGGGAATGTTGTCATAAACTGCCATTTTTAAAGGATCTTGAATAGTTCCATCATTTTCTGCATTAGTATCATCTGACTCTTTTTTGTTATCTGATGCAAATCTCTGCTGTAAAGTAGGAGTTATTTTTGCTGCTTTTATATGAACAGAATTCTGCATAGGTGGTGATATATCTTGAGTTCCATCTTTATGAATATTTCTCACATGTTTCGCCATGGCTCTTAACTCCTTAGGATATGGGGTAGGAGCTCTGCGCAATTGTCCTGGTTTTTCAGGGACCTTGGCTGTAGTCTTCATATCTACAAAACTAATATGACGGGCAGTAGACTGTGCCTCTGTATTATCTGTCTTTTCATGTTTATTTTTTATTTCAATAGGTGTTAAAGGCACTTGGGGGAATAGAAAACAAGTAAGGACTTGTTCATAAGTATGAGGATCTACTTCTGAATGCATAGGCACTAAAGGTTTGCTTTGATTTTCAGAGAGCCAAAGAGCTACTAAATTATCACAATTTAATAAGGACTGAGGAAGACAATTTAGAGAATTTCTTACTAAATTTAGGACTCTTAATGAAGACAAATGGCCAATTTCTGGAGGAATTTTCGTTAATTTATTTGCACGAAGTGATAACACGGAGAGTTTTGTACAACTTCCAATTTCTGGAGGAATTGTTTTTAACATATTGTCATCAATATTAAGATATTGCAGCTTTCTTAAAAGGCCAATTGACGATGGTATTTTGTCTAAATAATTACACATAAGCATTAATTCTTCTAAATTTTTTAATTGTCCGATACTATCTGGCAAAGAATACAATCTATTGTTATCTAATTTCAATGATGTCAAATTACATAGTTGCCCAATACTATCAGGTAGTTGTGTTAAACTATTAATGGACAAACTTAAATCTACTAACTGTGTGCAGTATCCAATTTCAGGTGCTAGCTCTTCTATCATATTATTACTAGCTTCTAAGTGAATTAAATTCTCTAAAGGCTTAATAACAGCTGGTATATTGGTAAAACTGTTACTGTCAATCCATAGCTCCTTTAACTTTAGAAATCTTCCAATTACCTCCGGAAACTGTTGAAACTCATTTTGACCTATATCTAATCGTAAAAGCTCCGTAGAACGAGACAGAGATTTTGGTAAAATCATAAGATAATTGTCTCTTAATTCAAGTATGTTAAGATTTGCTAATCGGCCAAAATTTCCTGGAAGATATTCTAGATATGTGTCATTTAGATACAATTCTTTCAAGGCTATAAGATTTGTTATGGCATCAGGAAGCTTTTCCAAGGGATTAACACTAAGATCTAAAAACATTAAATATTTCAATGCTTTCATGCTATCGGGGATTGATGCTAGAGAGTTTCTGCTGATATTTAAATGTAGTAAATTCACTAAAGAAGATATCGCTGTAGGAATTGTCTGTAACTCATTGTCACAAAGATCTAAATATTTCAACCCATGGCACATAAAAAGCTGGCGGGGTAACTCGGTTATTCGATTACTTTGGCAATATAGAGTTTCCAGAGTTCTTTCATACACGAACACATCTGTTGGAACATCTGTTAAAGACTGGTGAGAATAATCCAATTCCACGACGTCTTCTACTCCAGGCCTAACACAACACAGAAAGTCGAATGGCATTTTTTATTAACACTTGCACCTTTACACAAAAAATAAGTCTCAAAAACACGACTCATGATCTATATCAAATTTAGTATAATTACGGCTCTTTGACGACATTTTAATCTAGAATTTTTACTTATGATTCAAAGAAACAACGACAAAATATAAATTGTTACTGATAAAGTTATTTACTTCTTAATTTCTGTTACTGAAAATATTCCGCAGGATAATCTGTGCCCATAGCAATGATTCACTTTTCACATCACGTCACATAGACAAAAATTTAGAGCAAAGAGTATATATAATAAGGCTGGCCTTTCACTATGGGATGTAATATATATTATATCCCGAAATATAAATTATATCCCGCTATTGGCTTTCAAACTGTGAGATATATCTTTTAATTTTAACCAAAAATAGTGACAGCCGGACAACTGTGTACGTTAACTAGTGTTGTCTATTTTACCTATAAAACTTTCGATAAATGATTTCAATACGACCACAATACTTCAATAGGGAGTGCAAAGGGAAAGGTAAAAATGTTCAATAAAATTAGTTTAGTACACGAAAATGAATAACTTCTAAAACTAACTGATTTTTTACCATGATTAATCTTAAAAAAATTACTTAAGAAAATTAATAATAAATAATAATAATATTTTTTACTTGACCGTGTAGTAGAAGTGTAAAAATATCCACTACTTCAAATCATCCCATGTCGTAAGAGTTGACAGGAGGAAACAAATTAGGAGATAGGCAGTAGCGTCGTCCTAATAACTACTAAAAATAAATATAAACTACGGTTGCCAACCCGGTTGTCAAGCGTGGCAACAATGGCAAATATTTCCCTATGAGGCAATCTATGGGGGAGCCCTATAATTAGCAGTGGACTTTAATAGGCTTCAGCGGTAACGGTTCTATTTATTCCAAAAATATGTTAGCGGAAATAAGGTAAACCTGCCTGGTTGAGAGGTATACTGTTATGGGCAGTGTGTTGTCCTCACGTTAATGTACTTTCAGGGAGCACCAATAAAACACCGAGCTTATATTAATTGAGGAGACCAGTAGACAACGTCCGTTCGCACATCCGTTTCGCGTGGAATGTAAGTGATGCAAGAGGGAGACAGTCGATTATGTGCTAAGTGTCTCCGTCTTTATTTCACCAGCAATTATTACAAAATAATTTTTAAATAAATTAATTACAATTACTTTATGGCCTTTAAATAGAGCAATCTTATTTAACTGGTTCTAAAAAGGAACAGAGGCTCTTCTAATCCTGCTGCGAAGGAGCAATTACAGGAAGTTAAATCGCTTCTTAATCCGTCTTCTCAAATGACCAATTGAAAAGGACATAGACCTCTTCTCAAAGGATCAATTGAAAAGGGACGGAGCTAAATCCTGCCTTAGACGCGTACGTTGGGTTCGGGAACAACGTATGTGAACCCCGCAACGGAGTAACACACAAGGGCGTGAACCTCTTCCTTTTCTTCAAATAGGTTCAGACGGGGATTACGGGTCTTCCGAGGTCGTCCCGGTCCCAACGCCTTAATTCTTCAATATGTGCCGCTCCGGCGATACAGAAGGACTGTACTTATTCTTAAAGGTGAAGGATTCATTGGGAATAAAACAGCAATTATCTTCAAACAGTTCCGTGAGAGAGTAATTACTTTCCCTATCACTTCCCTATATACTTTTCTTTCTTGATTATATTATATACTGGTAGCTGGTCCCGAACGATTCACATTATTATCCTGTCTTCCGCATATATGCTTCTGTTGCATACTGCAGGTCTCGGGCCTCGGGGCTAACCCCATTGCCCGGAATCTCCTCGCGGTGCATAACTATGCACCGGTCGTGGGAGCCGTTGAGGCATTGTTGAGTGAAGCAGCGACACGAGTTTGAGTTCCCGGTCGCTGTAAGTCGGTTTAAAAATGTTCTTGCTAAATTTTTTCAGGAGGCGGGTGGCCTGCTCCTGAAAAAGTGGCATAATATGGCCTTTTTCCTGAAAAAGGCGCCTAATTCGGCCTAAACCTGAAAAAGACGCCTAATTCGGTCTGTGGTTATCTGGTAAATTTTCGTCAAAATCAATATGGCCGGCGGCTAATGCGGCCGGGCGTCTGAGTTGGCCTGTCTGCGGCTTTGCGGGTTATTACTCGACTCTCTAATCTCTATAGAGAGGAGTTCTCTGGACAGAGGTCGCCCGCCGGTGATCGAGCATGTAGGGGTGCGAAATTTTGTAAGTGTTCATGTGGCCCGTTATCAGCGCGGTCGAACATACCGCGCGCTAATCGGGCCACGAATTCCTTTATGGTTTCTATCTTTAGGTTCGCCGCGATGACGTCGTTCCGGACGTAGCGACCTGCACCGACGATGGTTCGTAGACATAGGTTCTGCTGAACCTGCAGCCGCTGCCTCTGCCGTTCGCTCAGGAGTGCGTACCAGGCCGGCGCGGCGTAGGTAATCTTCGTGCGTATATATAGTTTGTAGATTTTCAGCTTGGTCTTCAGCGGTAATTTGGATGCCAGGACTGGACGGAGCATCGCCCGCGCACATCTGGCATTGCGGACGACGATGTCGACGTGCGCGGTCATGCGCAACATCCTGTCAATCCGGCACCCAAGGTAGGTCACGGCCTTCTCGTACGCAATCTCCTGGCCTCTAAGCGTCAACGGGGGCGGGAAGTTCCGGTAGCGGCGGGTGAGGAGGGCGGCCGTTTTCCCAACATTCACAGCCATCCTCCACTCATCCAGCCACGATGGCAGCTGGTCCAGCAGGCGCTGCATCTTGGCGACGGCGAGATGGGAGCTTCTGGACGAGGTGAAGTAGGCGCTGTCGTCCGCATATAACGCCAGCTCCACGTCGTCCTCCCATTCGCGAAGTTGTCCAGCCAGTGTAGGGATGTCATTTGTATAAGCCGCGTACAGAATCGGTGAAAGACAGCTGCCCTGTGGTACGCCAGCTCTAATGGGTTTTACTGCGGATTCGGCATCTTCGACACAGACGTAGAAGCTCCGGTCGGCTAGAAACGACGCCACTAGCCGCAGCATAGCCGGAGGGACACTCGTCTGTAGTTTCATCTTGTAGAGTAAACCAGAGTGCCACACCCTGTCGAACGCCTTTTCGATATCGAGGAAGACGCCCAACGATGTGCGATCCCGGTTGTATTCGGCCGCCAGAAGGTGCAGCACTCTGGTCAGCTGTGTTGCTGCGGAGTGTCCGCTCCTGAATCCATGTTGTTCCGCCCGTAGTTTAATACACGGGCGGATTCTTCTTAAGATGATACGTTCAAATAATTTGGCTATGTGCGGTAGCAGCGTTATCGGTCTGTAACTAGCTGCTCTACGCCTGTCCTTCCCGGGTTTCGGCAGAACTATCACCTTGCCTTTCTTCCATTCCTCCGGGAAGTGTGAAGTCCGCAGTATGCCATTGTAGAGTCGTCCTAGCTCTACAATGGCTCTATGGGGCAGCTGTCGGAGTGCAGCGTTCGTAATCCGGTCGTGCCCCGGCGCCTTCCTCGGTTGCAGGCGGGCAATCGTCCTCCGCATTTCAGCGGGGGAGATGAACCATTCTCCTGCAAGCGGTGGCGCGGGCGACAACAGGAACTCCCGTACGCGGCTCTCCTTTAGGGCATGAAGCTCCATGTACTCCGCACTTGTTGGGTTCGGCATAAATTGCTCCTCGAAGTGCTCGATTAGGATATCCGCTCTGCCTTTGGCCTCGTAACAACGCCCGCCCGCGCTGTTGGTCAGCGGGCAGACGGGGGGTCTGGTCTTAGTTAGCTGTCGGTTCAATTGATAGAGCGACGCTTCCTGATCTTCAGCCATCCATATGCGCCGCTCCCAGGCCCTTCCTCTGTAGGCCTGTATTGCAACCGACAGCTCATCCGTCAGTGCGTTTAGTCTGCATTTGATGCGTGGGCAGCGCGTGCGTGCCCAGAGCTTCCTCAACGCTCTTTTATGATTTAGCTGCGCACGTAATTCTTGTGGCAGCTCTTCTCTACGATGTGTTAGAGGGACGATCGTAGAGGCCGCGTTGAGGGCTTCTTGGATGTTCTGTGTTATTCTAGCAGCAGCGGCCTCTACGTCGTCCGCCGAGGTAATCAATGTAGGTACTGGAGGCCTCTCCTGCAGGTGTTGCTGGTAGAGCCTCCAGTTAATCTTGGTAGTAAAAGCTCTGGGCAACGTAGTCACTGCCTTGAGGCCAAGGGTTATCAGAATCGGGAGGTGCTGTGAAGCTCGTATAGCACCTCTACCACTACCGGGTAGTTGACGTTCCTAGCGAGCACGATGTCCAATACATCCGGACTTTTCCTGTGGTCGGTTGGAACGTGCGTTGGTTCTTCGGGACCTAAAACGTCATAGTTATTGCGTTCTGCGTCATCGTAAAGTTCACGACCCGGCGGGTTGATCGTTCTTGATCCCCATGCCGGGTGTTTTGCGTTTAGGTCCCCCGCGATGATGGTTGGTGCTGTGCCTTCCATGATCGTCTGGATGTCTGAGGAGTGAAATGGAGTCCCTGGCGAAAGGTATGCTGCGAAGATCTTCAGTTCCTCGCCCGCCGCCTCCATTTTTATGCCGATGGAGCGCGTCGTATGGTATGACGGCAATTCAAGCTCTAGGTGGACGATGTCCTTTCTCACTAGAACCGCCGTGCCTCTATAGGCGGTTCCTAGAGCGTTGACTTCGTCCCTCCTGTATATGTGCTAGTTGGGCATCTTAATGTGCATAGATGGCCTCAACTTTGTCTCCCCCAGCAAGATTACATGTATGTCTTGTTGTTGAGCTATAGTGCGGAGTTCATGGAGCTTATACTGGATACCGTTCGGGTTCCAGTATAGCAAGCGCAGGTTCGTGTCACTCGCCTCTGTAGTGCCGAGCCAGTAGTAGAGACAGTGCTCTCATCACTGCAGTGATTGGGTCGGTGCCGGCTCTGATGTCTGCCAGTACCTGGCTACCGACCTCTATGGCAATGCCAACCAGCCTCAGGATTGCGTCCGTGGTGGCAGAGTTGGCGGTTGG